CATGGATTAAGACATTGACCTAGAGTGCAGATGACCCCAGTTGTATCCTAGCCACTACCTCTGGTCTCCTGAGCACTCCCAGGAGTGATCTCTGAGCACAGAGCCAGGAGTAAGCCCTGAGCACTGCCAGGTACGGCCACACACACACACATACGCACAATTACTTAAATTCTTCATGTGTGCCAGGCATTGTACTTGGCATTTTCTTTCCACCTTATTAACATTCATGTATACCTTTAAATTTTCTTCCTAAGGTAACATTTCCTTATAACATTATATATATTTCAGGTGTATTGACATTTTTTAAAACACCAGCATTTCTAGAGAATATAAGAAGCTTTAATCAAGGGATCATATAATTGAGTTTGCCGTTAAAATGAACAGGAGAATTGAAAACAGCTTAATAAGCTTTCTGACTGTTCTTTCTACAGCAACTTGAGCCCATTTAGAAAACTTGGCAGTGAACATATCAAGGTTATTATTGCATTCTTGTGTCCATTGTATGTTGGTATATCCAACAGAAAAAAAAAACCCTGTTGTACTTCTTATTTTACCTACTCTAAGTCAAAATAACTCCCTGAGAAAGAGACTTGGAGAGCTTAAATCAGCTCTTCACCACCACTGGTCCATGGGTTGGTGCTGCTTTGCAATGAAGAAAGGCTGAACTCCAGTGGTGGGAGCCACTTACTTGTTTACAACCAACAGTTGCTAGTCTGCAGGTGTGGAAAAGGTTGTAAACACTGCTTCAGATGGTTTCTTTAAGGTCAAGCAACAGTGAAGGAGAAATTGTCAGTTTTAATTCAGACCTTGGTGAGTGAAATTTCTAGATTCCAGAACATCCCTGTTTTCAAGTTTCTGTGCTGTTAAGGATACTGAAGAATCAAACAAAAAATTGAGATTTAATTATTCCCCACCAGACAGTTATGGTATATTTATTCCAGGAGGTGAAACATTTTTTCTGTAAAGTACTGGAGAGTAAATACTTTATTCTGTTTTTATATTTTTGGTGTTTGGGCCATACCTGATGATGCTCAGGAGTTACTTCCTCTTTGCACTCAGGAATCACTCCTGATGGTGCTTGGGGGACCAAATGGGATGCTGGAGATTGAAGACAAACGCCCCATTCGCTGTATTATCTCTCCAGCCCTGAGAGTAAATATTTTAGATTGTACAGCCCACACAGTCTCTTTTGTAATTACCAACTTCTGCCATTTTAGCACAAAACAGTCAGATATAAGTGTTGACCAATTGAGAGTGGCTATACGCCAATAAATCTTTACTTATGGAAATTATAATTTGAATTTTACATAATTTTCACATATTTTGAAGTGCTCCTCTTATTTTGCCCAACCATTTAATAATACAAAGTTTTTTTTAGTTTGGGGGCCATATAAAACCAGACTGAGTCCAGAGAAACCAATTAACATGAATATGCTGGTCACAGGGATTTTAGATTCTGAGAGGGGTCTAAATACCCAGGAAGAGCAGTCATTGGTTTATTAAGACAGTTATTAGGGAGAACTTTAAAGAAAAAACAGAGGCCCAAGTCTTCAACCAGATGCATCTGTTTCTCAACTATGTATTTCCCAGAGTAAGCACCTGTCTACCATTTCCCTTAAAAATTAAGTAGTAAATGAGAGGTGGGAAAAGAAATCAATTTAGGGGCAATAATAGCAGTTTGGGACTATGTTGCAGCAGCCTAATTAAAGTGATTTATAACTACATGGAGAACTCTTTAGTTTCCTCCTATTTATTGGGTAACAGCTCACACTGGCCATTACTCCATAGACAACCCAAGGGAAATTACCTAATGGATCTGCTCAACCAACATCATCAAACAAGCACGTGTCACTTTCCCAGCACACCTCTTTGTGGCTGCCTAAGATATTTCCAGGCTGGAGTAGAAACACCTGCTTAGGTATTTCTACTGTTACCAGTTATTAAATTCCTCCAACTTTGGTTTCTGTGAAGATACTTCCTCTCTCAGCTTCCCCAGCCTTGACTAAGAAGGCTGCTGGCATCCAGCAAACCAAATAGCTCCTGTTGACTTTGGGAAGATAACTGGTCTTGCTGCAGATCTAGGGAGAGAAAGTTCCATTGCCGGGCAACTTTCATGGCAACTTTTAAGATAACGTGATTAGAGGTAGGAAGGTGCACTTAGAAAGAACTATCATTTTTTTCTGCAGAAAATTTGATTAACTATATGTATGCCATCCTTGCAAACAGGGGAAAGTCTGTAGGCTGTTTTATGAAATTTCCTTGGAATCTGTCTAGTCATTGATGATGGTAGAGGCTGATGCCTAAGAGCTTCACTTAAGGTTGCCTCCATCTTGGTCAGAGTTCACTCCCCTTTTCTTCACTCCCTGTAGTCACTTCATTTTAAGAATTACAAATAATAAAAAAAAAAACAAGGACTATAAAGAGAGCACAATTTCATCCCAGTTCCCACATATGGTCCCTTGAGAAACTCCAAAGTGATCCCTGAACACAGAGCCAGGAGTAATCCCTGAGAACCACCAGGTGTGACTCCAAAACAGAATGGTGTTTCACTAATAAAAATTATAAAATAAAAAAAAGAATAGCACTTAAAAAAAAAACAGAAACAGAAACAAACGAATACGAGGAATTTTGGAAAGCTTGTTGAATCCTAGCTTTACTTATGATTTGTCAGATTCCTTTAAGAATACTTTGTAGAATATTTCACATGGCTTTGAATTATTCTTCAGTAACCATTTCTTTATAAAAATTTAGGTTCAAGCCACTTAGAAATGTCAACAGAAGCAAACAATAAGCTGCCACCTGAACTTGATCTTCATAGCGCTGTTGCACAATCTGCCTTAGAAGATTTACAGAGCCATAAAATAGAGATTGTAATACAAGGTCTATATCAGTGCTTCATAATAGACTTCAGCAGAATAATTTTGTAGACAAATTGATCATTTATTCAAATGTCAATCAGATAGCTTAGGCCAAATATACAGTAGCTACCAAGAATAGTTCGGCTACCATTCATACTTACAAGTTAGGGGCAGAGGTGGGGTTGTATGGTGTGTTCAGAAGCACAGGTAGATACACAGTCCTGTGGTCGGTACCATAGACTTCCCACATGGGTGACCACGTGACTGCAGTGAAGTTAATCATTTAGTGAACCAGTTTTTGGCAAAGTCATCTACTTTCAATAATAATGCTTTCATAATAGAGTTGTTGTAAGAATTTAATGAAATAATTGTCATAAAATATTTAGCATACTTCCTGGCATAAGGCAAATCAAAGAAGAAAAAAAGAGAGAGAAATTATAAATTATCACTCCTGACTTGGACCCTGATTACTCCCAGTTACAGTTATTAGAGTTTGCAGCTTCAGTAAGTAGCAATAATTTAGTTAGCTTATTTTATTTTATTTTTTCTTGTTAGGCTGCACCCAGTGGTGCTTTGGGCTTACTCCTGACTCTGCATTCAGGGATCACTCTTAGTGGTGCTCTGGGGACCATATGTGATAGTTGGGAGTGGGTTGACTGTCTGCAAAGCCCTACATACCGTACTATCATTTTGTCCCCTTTATTTTACTCTTTTAAATTCTATCATGCCCTTCAGTAGTATTAATATTTAAGCTTTAGGCCATGTGATATTACTATAATCCTCTGTACTCCTTGAGTGCTAATCCCGTTCATCCACTGTGAAAACTGTTCTCACACATTCAGATGTGTAATAGTAATCTATTCTAGTTTGTATGCAGGCTTAAAGGAAATATACCATTAGTAACAGAGTTGAGAAAAAAATACAAAATTTGAGAATATGAGTAGAAATGTAACCATATCCTTTCATACTGTGTGCCTACCATACTGATTCAGTGATCTCTGAATGCAGAGTCGGGAGTAAGCCCTAAGCACCACTAGGTGCGGCCTAACAAGACAAAACAAAATAAAATTTTGTTGACTAGACCTTTCATAGATTATTTAATTATGTTAGACAGAGGAGAGGCCAGGAAAAAAACATTTTTTTTCTAAAGGGGGAAGCTCTATTGCAATTATTCAACTAACCATTGTAGCACCAGAGAAGCCCTAAACAATTGCAATTATTTAACTGATCATTATAGCACCAAAGAAGCCCTAAACAATATGAATATGTCAATGTGATGAGGTCCAATAAAACTACTTACAAAATAGATAGTGGGAAGATAAACTCACAGGCCATAATTTACTGGCTTCTACTCAAAGAAAACATGCTGTATTTAACTTAGCATTTATTATCTAGTTAACACTAGGTACTGTGAAGTTACGTGCTAACTTGTTGAATTTTTTTCTCCTAGTGGAGTTAACCCCCAAATAACCTTTTATTTACCTTTAGGGCATAACGGGCTCTTCTCTACTCTAACCTAAAATTTTTATTTTAATGTATGTTTAAAATTCCTAAAAATACTCAGTTCTTTAAAGGTTCTAGAAGTATCCTCAGTCTCTCCTGAGTTCTCCCATAAATAAGTTAGACATTTTTTAAATGGCCATTATGTTTCAGTAAGTTTATTCATTAAATATCATCTATAACTTTTTAGAATAATAAATATATTGAGTGATATACCAGATATTACAGTCAGTGTATTAATTCACCCTTACATTGTGCTCAGAAAATGGGCATTATTTTCATTTTTCAAATAAGGAAACTGAAACCCTTAGAAGTATTATGATTATTAATTAATATACATTTTAATCCATATTTTTCCCCATTCCAGAGGCTATCGGTACAACCAAACTACCTTCTTAGAAGATAAATATTTTGACTTAAGTACAAGCCTATTTAACAGATATTTTAAGCTCTAATTTATAAATCACAATACCAGTTCCTGAGCCTTTGTATGAGCTAACAGAAGATATTTACAATCAAACACATCCCCTCATGACTAAAAGTATATTGTACTTTTTGTTTTCACTTTGATAGGTTTAATGATATTTATAACTTCCTACTTAGCTGTCTACATATTCTGTTTGCCGTGTTTATTGCTTTCAGGTGACTTAAAAGATGGTAAAAATAAGGCAGACAAGAAGGATCAATCCAACGTCGGAAATGACTCAAAGAAAACAGATGGTAAGAGCAGAATTCCATTACTTTCTTCCATAAAAATATGTGATTTAATGAAAGGTTCTTAGAATTACACCTAAAATTAAATAGTAGTGGTAAATATATTCTAACCTTCTGTACTGGAAAAACCATTTCACTAGATTTAAGGAGTATTATCTTTTTCTCAATAATTTAAAAATTGAATGTTGTGTCATTTTTTTCCTGCACATACTTTCTTCATCACAAATGCATTCTGTACTCTTGCTTTTTCCATTTGCCATTTTTCATTTTATATTTTGTAAGAATTTGGTTCTGGACTTGCTTATTCAAATAGAATGGAATACAAAATTTCTATTATGAATTGTGCAACCTAAATGAGAAAGGTCCCATGTCTTCATTGTTTTGAGTCTTGAATGAGTTTTTATTTTTGGTGAAAATGAAACCAAAAATTTATTTAGCATTTTCATTATGTTGAAAGGGCAACATACATGAGAACATGTGCAGCAGTGGGTTTGGTCAGAAGAGGGGCAAGTTCTGAATGACATATTCAAACCAAGTAGCATGAACCCACATGGTATTGAGCTTCCTGAGCAAAGCTTTTCACAAGTGCTACCTTGTTCATTATAAAGCCTAAATGTTGAGGTATAGTCTCCAGATTTTGAACTTTTTTTAAAAATTTTTTTTATTAGTGAAACACCATGAGGTACAGTTGTAGATTTACAATTTTTTTGTGCTTGGGTTTGATTATACAATGATCAGATACCCATCCCTCCACCAGTGCCCATTTTCCACCACCATGGATAATATCCTCCCACCCTCATCCCCCCATCCCCCCCTGCCTCTGTGGCAGGGCAATCCCCTGTGTTCTCTCTCTCCTTTTGGGTGTTGTGGTCTGCAAAAGAGGCATTGAGTGGCAAACATGTTCAGTCCATAGTCTGCTATCGACATGCATCTCCCCTCCTGGGAGGATCCTCCAAACACCCTTTATTTGGTGTTCCCTTCTCTATCTGAGCTGCCCTTTCCTCTAGAATGCCCGACTGGCCACTAAGCTATGGAGTAATCCTCCTGGTGCTGATCTCAGCTATTCTTGGGTATTAATCTCATATTTTGTTACTTTATATCCCCCAGATGAATGCAATCTTTCAATGTCTATCCCTCTCTTTCTGACTCATTTTGCTTAGCATGATACTTTCCATGTTGTACCACTTGTATGTAAATTTCATGACTTCATCTTTTCTAAGAGCTACATAGTACTCCATTGTGTAGATGTACCAAAGTTTCTTTAACCAGTCATCTGTTCTTGGGCACTCAGGTTTCTTCCAGTTTCTGACTATTGTAAAGAGTGCTGCAATGAACAAACAAGTGCAGATGTCACTTCGACTATACATTTTTGCCTTTCTGGGATATATTCCCAGGAGTGGTATTGCTGGGTCAAATGGGAGCTCAATTTCTAATTTTTTGAGAATCGTCCATACTGTTTTCCAGAAGGGCTGAACCAGTCGACATTAATACCAACAGTGAAGGAGTGTCGCTTTCTCGCCACATCCACGCCAGCATCGGTTGCTTTTGTTCTTTTGAATGTGGGCCAGTCTCTGAGGTGTGAGATGGTATCTCATTGTGGTTTTGATCTGCCTCTCCCTGATGATTAATGATGTAGAACATTTTCTCATGTGCTTTTTTGCCATTCAGATTTCTTCTTTGAGAAAGTTTCTGTTCATTTCATTGCCCCATTTTTTGATGGGGTTGGATGTTTTCTTCTTGTGGAGTTTAACCAGTATTTTGTATATCCTGGATATCAACCCCTTGTCGGATGTGTGTTCGGCGAATATCCTTTCCCATTCTGTAGACTGTCTTTGTATTTTGGTCACTGTTTCTTTGGAGGTGCAGAAGCTTCTTAGTTTAAGATAGTCCCATTTATCTATCTCTGTTTTCACTTGCTCAGTCAGTGGCATGGCATCTTTGAAGATACCATTAGCTTCAATGTCATGGAGGGTTTTGCCAACTTTGTCTTCAATGTACCTTATGGTTTCTGGTCTGATGTTGAGGTCTTTAATCCATTTTGATCTTACTTTTGTACATGGTGTTAAGCAGAGTTCTGAGCCCATTTTTTTGCATGTAGCCATCCAGTGATGCCAGCACAATTTGTTAAAGAGGCGTTCCTTACTCCACTTCACATTACTTGCACCTTTATAAAAGATTAGATGATCATATGATTGAGGGGAGATGTCAGTGTTTCAACCCTGTTCCATTGGTCTGCAATTCTGCCTTTGTTCCAGTACCATGCTGTTTTAATTATTACTGCTTTGTAGTACAGTTTGAAGTTCAGGAGGTTGATTCCTCCCATTTTCTTTTTCCTAAGAATTGCTTTAGCTATTCGTGGGGGCTTATTGTTCCATATAAATTTCAGGAGTGTTTGCTCCATTTCTTTGAAGAATGTCATGGGTATCCTTATAGGGATGGCATTGAATTTATACAATGCTTTCGGTAGTATTGCCATTTTGACAATGTTAAGTCTCCCGACCCATGAGCAGGGGATATCTTTCCATTTCCTCATGTCCTCTTTTATTTCCTGAAGTAGCGTTTTGTAGTTTTCTTTGTATAGGTCCTTTACTTCCTTAGTTAAGCTGATTCCTAAGTACTTGATTTTCTGGGGCACAATTGTGAACGGGATTGTTTTTTTCATGTTACTTTCTTCTCTCTCACTGTTTACATATAGGAAAGCCATGGACTTTTGGGTATTGATTTTATAGCCTGCAACTTTACTATACGAGTCTATTGTTTCTAGGAGTTTTTTGTTGGAGGTTATTGGGTTCTCTAAGTATAGTATCATATCATCTGCGAATAGTGAGAGCTTGATTTCTTCCTTTCCTACCTGAATGCCCTTAATATCTTTTTCTTGCCTAATCGCTATTGCAAGTACTTCCAGTACTATATTGAACAGCAGTGGAGATAGTGGGCATTCTTGTCTTGTCCCTCATCTTAGAGGGAAGGCGCTCAGTTTTTCCCCATTGAGGATGACGCTTGCTGTAGGTTTGTGGTAGATGGCTTTAATTATGTTGAGGAAGGTCCCCTCTATACCCATTTTGGCTAGGGTTTTCATCATAAAGGGGGGCTGGATCTTGACAAATGCTTTCTCTGCATCTATTGATATAATCATATGCTTTTTATCTTTTCTTTTGTTGATATAATGGATTATGTTGTTTGATTTCCGAATGTTGAACCATCCTTGCATCCCTGGGATGAATCCTACTTGGTCATGGTGTATGATCTTTTTGATGAGTAGTTGGATTCTATTTGCTAGGAGTTTGTTGAGGATCTTTGCATCTGTGTTCATCAGGGATATCAGTCTGTAATTCTCTTTCTTTGTGGTATCTCTGTCTGCTTTTCGTATCAGTGTGATATTTGCTTCGTAGAAACTGTTCAGAAGTGTTTTTGATATTTCAATTTCGTGGAAAAGCTTAAAGAGGATTGGGAGTAAGTCCTCTTTAAAGATTTGGAAGAATTCACTAGTGAATCCATCCGGGCCAGGACTTTTGTGCTTGTGGAGACTTTTTATTACCATTTCAATTTCCTTGATGGTGATAGGTCTGTTCAGGTATTCCAGGTCTTCTTGGGTCAGCCTTGGGAGTCTGTAGGAGTCTAGGAATTTATCCATTTCCTCGAGGTTTTGATGTTCCATGGCATAAAGTTTCTCAAAGTACTCCCTGAGGATCCTTTGAATTTCTGTAGTTTCTGTTGTAATGACCCCCTTTTCATTTCTGATTCGGTTTATTAGGGTTTTCTCTCTCCCTTTCTTTGTGAGTTTTGCTAGAGGCTTATCAATCTTGTTAATTTTCTTGAAGAACCAGCTCTTGGTTTCATTGATCTTTCGGATTGTTTTTTGGGTTTCCATCTCGTTAATCTCTGCTCTGAGATTTATTATTTCCTTTCTCCTGTTCGGGTTGTGCTCCTTTTGTTGGTGCTTCTCCAAGCTCTTAAGCTGTGAGGTTAGGTTACTTATGTGTGCTCGCTCCTCCTTCCTGAGGAATGCTTGTAGAGCTATAAAATTTCCTCTTAACACAGATTTTGCTGTGTCCCATAAGTTTTGGTAACTCGTGTTCTCATTTTCATTCGTTTCTAGGAATCTTTTGATTTCCTCTTTGATTTCCTGTCTAAGCCACTCGTTGTTCAATAGCGCACTGTTCAATTTCCAGGTGTTTGATTTAGTTTTCTGTTTTTGTGTGTGATTTACTTCTAATTTCAGCGCATTATGGTCTGAGAAGATTGTTAATACAATCTCTATCTTCTTAATTTTATGGAGGCATGTTTTGTGGCTCAGCATGTGGTCTATCTTGGAGAACGTTCCATGTACACTTGAGAAGAATGTGTATTCAGCTTTTTGTGGATGAAGTGTCCTGTATATATCTACTAAGTCCCTTTCTTCCATTGTTTCCCTCAGATGAAGTATGTCCTTGCTAAGCTTGAGTCTGGTTGATCTATCAAGAGGTGACAAAGCGGTGTTGAAGTCTCCCACTAGTATTGTGTTGCTATTGATGTCTTTTTCCAAATCTATGAGTAGTTGTTTTAAGTACTTTGCTGGTCTCTCATTAGGTGCATATACATTTATTATTGTAAGTTCTTCCTGTTGTACAGATCCTTTGATGAATAAGAAATGGCCTTCACTGTCTCTTATGAACTTCCTCACTCTGAAATCGATGTGGTCTGATATTAGGATGGCTACCCCAGCTTTTTTATGGGAGCTGTTTGCCTGTAGGATTGTTTTCCAGCCTTTGACTCTGAGTCTGTGTTTGCTTTGACTATTGAGATGTTTCTTGCAGGCAGCAGAATGTTGGGTTCAATTTTCTAATCCATCCTGCCACTCTATGTCTTTTAATTGGTGCGTTTAGCCCGTTAACATTGAGAGAGATTATTGTTATGGGATTTTGTTCCATTGTTCTGTTGAAATTTGGTGTGTTTGAGGGGCCTTTCTTGCCTTAAAGTAGCCCATTTAGTTGTTCTTGTAACCACGGTTTTGAGTCTATGAAGTT